GGTACCCATTTACTAATGGATAAACATAGACAACAGTTGTAAAGAAACACGCCTAATGTTTCTACCCTGACTGGGAATCGAATATTTACCAAAAGTTATATATGGCTAACCCAAGCCAGGTACTGGAAATAAGTCATGTTGACTTTTTTGGGCTATCCTAGGTTCTCTACACATATGCTGCTATGTGTGATAATCTATATAGAGAAAATAACTTTTGTTTCAGGTTTATGGTGCAGTACGAGTGTATATCACAGTTAGCCCTGTGCTATACTCCGTTTTCTCTAATATAAGCCCCCAAGACAGGGATAGGAGAATGGTATTTGCATATCATATATCCTCTTCATACCTCCATCGAACTGCTCAGTATTATGTCAAATATTATTTATTCTAGAGTATTTAACATGTTTTATGTTACTTATATTGTTTATTATGTCATATTAGATCAGTTGTGATAGGCAAATAAGCTGTAGTGTTGATATTAGCATAATAATAAAGCATATTCTCCTGCATCACGAGACTGAGCTCATGGCAACCGACAGTGGCTTCAAAGCCACAATATCTTTAATGGATAATGTACTGTGTAGGTGCTTTACATAATGAGAAGCATTTCTTTTATTCATTGGAACCATGGCTAGGGTTAAAATTAAGCAGGCTATAACAATAAATGGAGAAAAAGAAATTGGAGTGACTTTTGCAGCAAGTAGCACCACCAAACAGTACCAGCAGGTTTGTGTGGCGACCCTGGAAATTTGAAATTATGCTAGCCAGAATTAGTGCCGAATAACTGAAGGAACCGAATAACTGATTGCCGGATTTGTGATGGCGGACCTGTACTTGAATGGATGGTTTCGTGTGCATTCTATCAATAAAACGAAAAGCATACTTGCAAAATAGCTAAGAATCTGTTCAAATGGAGCAGTGGAATTCATTTAAAATTGGGTTCAAAGTGGGAAAAATTACTAATGCATAAATTGCACCCAGGCCGCTAAGCGCCTGTGTCATTCTATAACTTTTCCGTCAAATTTCATACCTTTGGTGTCATTACATTCAGAAAAAGATTCCATACACCTTCATATCATAAGTTTTTTAATGGGCACTGGGAGCAATATTATTTTTGCCCATTTCAACCAAATTCTTAGCTGTTTTGCTAGTATGCTATTTTGAATTCATCACACATATTATATTCATATATTATATTATATTCATATTATATTCATCTTTCTCAGATGAATATAATATGAATGATTGGTCTGCTAGTTTGAGCTCAATTTCAAGGTTGTTTTCTTCATGAAACTAATCAAAATCATCTCTATTTCTGATATATGTTTCCCATTCTATCAAATAAAACCAAGAAAGCGAGAATGCAATCATAAATACTTTATCAAAATACACCTCAAAGTCTGCGTTTTAATTAAAAAACACGGTCTGAGTTTTTTTTTCTCATGCACTGCGTGCTGCAGGATTTTTTTTTATACAGTGCACACTGACCACACAGACCCATTCTCCCACATACAGGCCTACCAGCTTTCTCCTGCTTGATTTGAAGCCGCTAGAATTATTGAGGATATATACATCCGAAACACTGGCTCGTAAGACGTATATATACAACCAAAACAGTCAAAGGGTTAAGCCCTATTTAAAACTGCTTCCAGTCTTGAACCCAACCGAAATCAACTCTAATTTGTAGTTTGACTTCCATTCTATTAATTGATACTATGAAACCCAGTAAAACCATAAAACCATTTTGGATAACATCTCAGAGTTACTATTTTAAGCCAAATACATGGTCAGAGGTTTGCTTTTCCTATCTGTGCACACACTCTGCACAGGCGCATTTTCTCATTTCCACACCTAATTTCCTCGCTCCGAATTCTCAGCATAATATTTACATCACACATTGCCCTTAGACACGACATCTCCACTGCCTCCAGCCACCTCTTCGCCGCAGCATTTGCAACCCAAGCTTCACACCCATATAAGTGTTGGTTCAACTATACTTTTGTACTTTTCCCTTCTTTGCCTCCATGGATAACATTTTTTGTCTCCACAGACACCTCAATGCACTGCTCACCTTTTTGCGTTCATCAGTTCTGTGGCTAACCTCATCTTTCATAAACCCATCCACTGACAAGTCAACTCCCAAATATCTGAAAACATTTACTTCTTCCATACTCCCTCTCTCCAATGTGATATCCAGTTTTCCTTTATCTAAATCATTTGATTCCCTCATCACCTTACTTTTAGCTATGTTCACTTTCAACTTTCGAAATTTACACCCTCCCAAACGCGTCCGCTAACCTTTGCAACTTTTCTATAGAATCTCCCAGAAGCTCAGTATCAGCAAAAAGTAACTGTGTCAACTCCCATTTTGTATATGGTTCCCCATAATTTAATCCCACCGCTCTCCCCAACACCCTAGCATTTACCTCTTTTACAACCCCATCTATAAATATAGTATTAAACAACCATGGTGACATTATGCAACCATGTCTAACACCTACCTTGACCAGGAAGTAATGTCCCTCTCTTACACACCCTAACCTGAGCCTCACTATCATCATAAAAACTCTTTACAGCATTTAGTAGCTTACTACCTATTCCATACACTTGCAACATCTGCCACATTACTCCCCTATCCACTCTGTCATATGCCTTTTCTAAATCCATAAATGTAATGAAAACTTCCCTTTATCTAAATACTGTTCGCATATATGCTTCAGTGTAAATACTTGTATACAAATCGCCTACCCACTCTAAAGCCTCCTTACTCATCTGCAATCCTACCCTCTCTCTTGCCTCTAATTCTTTGAATAATAACCCTACTGGACACTTTACCTGATATACTCAGTAAACTTATTCGCACACATGACTAACGAAATCGTGATGACACGATTGCAGACAAACCATACCATGGGCGGGGATAGAATCCGCCATCCAAAAGTCATAAAACTCCAGAACGACGTTGGTCTGGAGTTTTATGACTCGGATTGCAGGTTCTATTCTTGTCTGTGGTATGATCTATTCCCCTTTAATTTTTACAATCTCTTTTGTCCTCCTTCCCTTTATATAAAGGAACTATGCATACTCCATGCTAATCCCTAGGTACCTTCCCCTCATTCATACATTTATTAACCCTTTCAGGGTCCCCAGGCCCTCTCCCAAACTTGTTCTCAGGGTCGCCCAAATTTAAAAAAAAAAAAATTTCTTATGACAGGATAGAGAATCTTTTCCCGATCATAATGACACCAAAAGTATGAAATTTGATGGAAAACCTATGGAATTATGCTCTCGCAAAGTTAGTGGTCTCGATGACGTTTATGCATCGGCGATTTTTACCCACTTTGAGCCCTATTTTTGGCCAATTCCAGTGTACTAGTCGACAAAAATCATAACTATTTCGCTAGAACTCCATTTTTTCTATCGAGTGAGTACAAGAAACCACCCATTTACCTATTTCAACTATCCAATACAGTGGTCAGAATTTAGCAATTTTGCCAATTTCATACAATTTACATTCTTTTGCTTTCCACTTTGAATTTTTTATTCTCACAAAAAATAGAAGATTTACTGTTATGCAGACTACTGCATTAGTGTAGAAATGGTATAAATAATACCGGCGCACTTGTGAAAGAATATTAGACTCGCCAGTTGACACGTATTGGACGCTTAGCATGATTTGTTTACTTTTGAACTTTAGTAAAAATCAAACAATTCTGCTACTTTGAGCTCAATTTCAAGGTACTTTTCATTGTAAAACCAGTCAAAATCATCTCAATTTCTGTAATATGTCTTCCATTCTATAAAATGAGACCAGGAAAATTAGAATACAACAATAAATACCATACGAAAATACAGTGCACAGTCGCTGTTTTAATCCAAAAACATGGTCAAAGTTTTTTTTTCCTCATTACGCTGTGTGTGCTGCAGGATTTTTTTTTTTATACTGTGCACACTGACCACATAGACCCATTCTTTCATATGTAGGCCTACCAGCTTTCTCTCACTAGATTTGAGGGCACTAGAATTTAGGCGTGCTAGTAAGTCAAAAAGCCTGGTGCATAAGCCGTACTAGTACAGCCGAAACCCCGAAAGGGTTAAGAGTGAAAGTGTTTTCTTCGTCAGGTCACCCTACTTAAGTGGAAGATGACCTGTGTGTGTGTGTGTGTGTGTTTTTTTTTTTTTTTTTTTTTTTTTATTATTATTATTATTATAACACTGGCAATATAGTGTGGTGAAAGTGTTGAATGATGATGAAAGTATTTTCTTTTTTGGGGATTTTCTTTCTTTTTTGGGTCACCCTGCCTCGGTGGGAGACGGCCGACTTGTTGAAAAAAAAAAAAAAAAAAAAAAAAAAAAAAAACTGGCAACATTAACACCCCTCCTTCAGAGTGCCGGCACTGTACCTAGAGATGGGAAGTACAGTGCCGGCACTCTGAAGGAGGGGTGTTAATGTTGCAGTTTAAAAACTGTAGTGTAAAGCACCCTTCTGGCAAGACAGTGATGGAGTGAATAATGGTGAAAGTTTTTCTTTTTCGGGCCACCCTGCCTTGGTGGGAATCGGCCAGTGTGATAATAATAATAATAAAAATTTGTTCAAAAAGAAATAAAAACCACGCAGGTCATCTTCCACTTAAGTAGGGTGACCTGACAAAGAAAACACTTTCACTCTTAACCCTTTCGGGGTTTTGGCTGTACTAGTACGGCTTATGCATCAGGCTTTTTAATTCTTAGTTGTCTCTAAAATTTAAATTTTCCCAATTTTTTTTTGAAGGAAAAAAAAAATCTGGGTTTTCACTTCTGAATTCACAATCTGTTACACATTCTGTGAAAGATTTTAAATTTTGAGTAATAGAGTTTGTAATAATTAAAGCATCAGCTTTAGAACAATCTGTATATTAAATAATAGTGTATTATAAATATTATGTGTAGATACAGTAAGGAGCTTTGTAATATAATATTGTTAATTTCATGTTTAAGCCTAAATATATTTTTTACTGCAGGTTCACACTTTTTATGAAGCAGTTGGATATATGATTAGTGCTCAGACTGATCAAGTTGTTCAAGAACACCTCATTGAGAAATACATGACGCTACCTAATCAAGTCTGGGACGAGATTATTAACCAGGCATCAAGGGTAAGTTATAATTTTGTTAGCTCGGATGGTACCTTAAAAAGTAATTATGAACTATTTAAGTATCACTAAATTGAAATTGGTGTTGTCCATGCATCACGTTACCCTTTTCCTTACAAAATGGTGCCTAATATTGAGAAAGGGATTATGAAAAAAAAAAATGCTGAAAATGCATTTGGCAGTAGACAGTAGGAGAAAATGGAGCCAAGTTAACCACATACAAGAACATAGCAGTATACAGTGGACCCTCGACCAAGGTTTTTAATCTGTTCCAGAGAGCTTGTCCCTAGACGAATTTATCGTTAGCCAATTTAATTTTCCCATAAGAAATACAGTGGACCCTCAACCAGCGATGGCATCGATAAACGATAAATCTGACTAGCGATTCATTTAAACGCAAAAATTTTGCCTCGACTAGCGCTTAAAAACCCGACCAGCGCTTTTCGTTCCGTACCATACGCGTCCACTTTGGCCTGAGCGCGCCTCACTTGTCCCTTTGGTGCCAGTGTTTACAAGCCAGCCAGCCACCGCGGTTGCTTCCAAACATACAACTGAAACATTTCATATTATCACAGCCTTTTTAGTGATTGCACCTGCAAAATAAGTCACCATGGGCCCCAAGAAAGCTTCTAGTGCCAACCCTACAGCAAAAAGGGTGAGAATTACTATGGAGATGAAGAAAGAGATCATTGATAAATATGAAAGTGGAGTGCGTATCTCTGAGCTGGTCAGGTTGTATAATAAACCCCAATCAACCATCGCTACTATTGTGGGCAAGAAAACGGCAATCAAGGAAGCTGTTCTTGCCAAAGGTGCAACTATGTTTTTGAAACTGAGATCACAAGTGATAGAAGATGTTGAGAGACTTTTATTGGTGTGGATAAACGAGAAACAGATAGGAGGAAACAGCATCTCTCAAGCGATCATATGTGAAAAGGCTAGGAAGTTGCTTGACGATTTAATTAAAAAAATGCCAGCAACTAGTGATGTGAGTAAATTTAAGGCCAGCAAAGGTTGGTTTGAGAGATTTAAGAAGCGTAGTGGCATTCATAGTGTGATAAGGCATGGTGAGGCTGCCAGTTCGGACCACAGAGCGGCTGAAAAATATGTGCAGGACTTCAAGGAGTACATAGACAGTGAAGGACTGAAACCTGAACAAGTGTTTAATTGTGACGAAACAGGCCTGTTTTGGAAGAAAATGCCAAGCAGGACGTACATTACTCAGGAGGAAAAGGCACTTCCAGGACATAAGCCTATGAAAGACAGGCTTACTTTGTTGATGTGTGCCAATGCTAGTGGTGATTGCAAAGTGAAGCCTTTATTGGTGTATCACTCTGAAACCCCCAGAATGTTCAGGAAAAACAATGTCCTCAAAGCTAATTTGTGTGTGCTGTGGAGGGCAAACAGTGAGGCATGGGTCACTAGGGACTTTTTCTATGACTGGTTACACCATGCATTTGCCCTCGATGTGAAAAATTACCTAGTTGAAAAGAAATTAGACCTTAAGTGCCTCCTGGTATTAGACAATGCCCCTGGTCATCCTACAGATGTGGCAGAGCGACTTTCTAGGGACATGAGCTTCATTAAGGTGAAGTTTTTGCCTCCTAATACCACTCCTCTCCTGCAGCCCATGGACCAGCAGGTTATTTCCAACTTCAAGAAACTGTACACAAAAGCTATGTTTGAAAGGTGCTTTGTAGTGACCTCAGAAACTCAACTGACTCTAAGAGAGTTTTGGAAAGATCATTTTGCCATCCTCAATTGTGTAAACATTATAGGTAAGGCTTGGGAGGAAGTGACTAAGAGGACATTGAACTCTGCTTGGAAAAAACTGTGGCCAGATTTGGAAGGGTTTGAGGCTAACCCTGAGAATCCTATGCCAGTTGAGGAATCCATTGTGGCATTGGGGAAGTCCTTGGGGTTGGAGGTTAGTGGGGAGGATGTGGAAGAGTTGGTGGTGGAGGACAGTGAAGAACTAACCACTGATGAGCTGCTAGATCATCTTGAACAGCAAGAGGGCAGACCTGAGGAAACTGCTTCGGAGGAGGGGAGAGAGAAATTGAAGAAGTTGCCTGCTTCTAAGATTAAGGAAATCTGTGCAATGTGGCTTAATGTGCAAAGCTTTATGGATGATAATCACCCTGACACAGCTACTGCAAGCCGTGTTGGCAACCTGTACACTGACAATGTTGTGAACCACTTTAGGAAAGTCATAAAGGAACGAGAGGTACAGGCCTCTATGGACAGATATGTTGTGCGACAGAAGTCCAGTGACTCTCAAGCTGGTCCTAGTGGCATTAAAAGAACAAGGGAAGTAACCCCAGAAAAAGACTTGCTGCCTCAAGTGCTAATGGAAGGGGATTTCCCTTCTAAACAGTAAGAAGATAACGCTCTCCCCTCCTCCCATCCCATCAATCATCACCAGATCTTCAATAAAGGTAAGTGTCATGTAACTGTGCATGTAATCTTCAGTTTGTGTGTATTAAAATTAATATTTCATGTGGTAAAAATTTGTTTTTTTCAATACTTTTGGGTGTCTTGCACGGATTAATTTGATTTCCATTATTTCTTATGGGGAAAATTAACTTGACTAACGATTATTTTGACTAACGATGAGCTCTCAGGAACGGATTAATATCGCTGGTTGAGGGTCCACTGTAATGGAAATCCAATTAATCCGTTCCAGACACCCAAAAGTATGAAAAAAAAAATATTTCACATGTAATGTACATTTCCTACACAAAACAATGATACATGCACAATAAATAATACACGAAGAATAAATGACACTTACCTTTATTGAAGATATAGTGATGAGTAATGAGATGGGAGGAGGGGAGATGGTGTATTATTGTTTGGAAGGGGAATCCCCTTTCATAAGGACTTTAGATACCAAGTCCTTTTCTGGGGTTACTTCCCTTTTTTTTATGCCACTGGGAACAACTTGACAGTCACTGGACCTCTGTTGCACCAAAATCTGTCCATAGAGCTCTGTACCTGGCATTCCTTTAAGATTTTCCTAAAATTGGCCACAACATTGTCATTGTAAAAGTCACCAGCACGGCTTGCAATATCTGTGTCAGGGTGATGTTCTTCCATAAAGGTTTGCACTTCAACCCACTCTGCACAAATGTCCTTAATCGTTGAAGAAGGCAACTTCCTCCATTTCTCTCTCCCCTCCTCTGAAGCAATTTCCTCAGTTGTGGTCTGTTGCTGTTGCAGATGCTCTTGCAGCTTATCAGTGGTTAGTTCTTCATCATCGTCCTCCACCAACTCTTCCACATCCTCCCCACTAACCTCCAACCCCATGGACTTCCCCAATGACACAATAGATTCCACAACTGGCATAGGCTCCTGAGGGTTAGCCCCAGACTCCTCAAAATCCCTCTCTTGTACACATTGTGGCCACAATTTCCTCCCAGCAGAGTTCAAGGTCCTGTTAGTCACTCCCTCCCAAGCCTTACCTATAAGGTTTATGCAACTGAGGATACTAAAGTGATCTTTCCAAAACTCTTAGGGTCAGTTGAGTGTCTGAGGTCACTTCAAAGCACTTTTGAAACACTGCTTTGGTGTACAGTTTTTTGAAATTTGAAATGACCTGCTGGTCTATTGGCTGGAGGAGAGGAGTGGTATTAGGAGGCAAAAACTTCACTTTTATGAAGCTCAACTCCCCCGCAATTCGCTCTGGCAAGTCTGAAGGATGAGCAGGAGCATTGTCTAATACCAGGAGGCACTTGAGGTCCAATTTATTTTCCAGGAGGTAATTTTTCACAGTGGGGCCAAACACATGATAGAACCAGTCATAGAAAATGTCCCTAGTGACCCATGCCTTACTGTTTGCCTTCCACATCACACACAAATTAGCCTTGACAGCACTGTTTTTCTTGAACACTGGGATTTTCAGTGATACACGAGTAGAGGCTTCACTTTGCAATCCCCACTAGCATTACTACAAAACAGAGTTAGCCTCTTTCATAGGCTTGTGTCCTGGGAGTGCTTTTTCCTGTTTGGCATTTTCTTCCAAAACAGGCCTGCTTCGTCACAATTAAAGACTTGCTGGGGTTTTAATTTTTCAGTGTCTATGTACTCCTTGAATTCCTGCACATATTTTTCAGCCACTTTTTGGTCAGAACTGGCAGCCTCACCATGCCATATCACACTGTGTATGCCACTACGATTCTTAAATCTCTCAAACCAACCTTTGCTGGCCTTAAATTCACTAACATCACCACTAGTTGCAGGCATTTTTTTAATTAAATTGTCATGCAACTGCCTTGCCTTTTCACTTATTATTGACTGAGAAACACTATCTCCTGATGATTGTTTTTCGTTTATCCACACCAACAACAGTCTCTCCACATCTTCGAGTATTTGCAATCTCTTGTTTTGAAAACATACTTGCACCTTTTGCAACAACAGCTTCCTTGATTGCCTTTCTGTTGGCCAAAATAGTAGCGATGGTTGATTGGGGTTTATACAACCTGGCCAGCTCGGAGGCACGCACCTCACTTTCATATGTAGTGATTATCTCTTTCTTCATTTCCATAGTAATTCTCGCCCTTTTTACCACAGGGTTGGCACTAGAAGCTTTCTTGGGACCCATGGTGGCTTATTTAACAGTTACAAGCCCTAAAAACACTGGAATAATACAAAATGTATCACAGGTACACATGGAACTGTCCGCAGTGGCTTGTAAACAGTGGCACACTAGCTGAAGGCAGGGCAGCTGAGGCGTGCTCAGGCTGGACGGACAGGCGGATGCATTCGGGACGAATGTCGTTACCCGAGTTTTTCATCGTTGGTCAAGCCAATATTTTTATGCAAAAATGCATCATTGCCTGATTTTATCATTAGTCGATGCCATTGTTGGTCGAGGGTCCACTGTACAAGAAATTTATTAAGAAATTAGTTTTAGCTTCCTCAAAAAGGCAAACTGAACAAGGATACCATGAAATAAATAACAAAAAAAGGCACAATATCTGGAACAATACACAAATAACACG